GGTATCGAAACCAGGTTTCTAGCGTTGTAAGTCCGCAGACATACCGCTGTGCCACTGGAGGGCTTGACCAAACTCCTTAAAATTATGGGTTTCTTTAACCTTTTGATCCCTTCTAAAATGACCGAAAATGGGCATATTCCACATGTTTATATATATATATATAGTACCTGTTAAAAATATCTTTGTACCAAATACCAAGTAAAATGGCCGAAATACGACGGAATAATTGTAACAAAGAAAAAAAAATGCTAAAATTATACTTTTTTATGAGCTCTGACCCCCCTAAAACGACTCAAATCGGGAAAATCCAACTTTTTGGATGTCAATGTGTTGGACGCGTGAACACTTATATTTGTGCCAGCCTGAGGAGCCCAAAATATACATTTTTGGGTTGTTTGGCTCTTTACCCCATAAAATCCTTAAAAAAAAAGCCTAAATCAGAAAAATGAAAATGATATGTAGGTGTATTGGACCAAGGTATAACCCTACCAAATTTCAACTTAATCTACCGGTAAACGAAGGAACGGGGATTGATTGAAAAGTGTTTGGAAGAAGAGGAAACAATAGAAAAATAGTATGTCTCTCTGCGAAGACATAGTAGGAATGGATATAAAGTCCGAAAACTAGATATATCTATAGGCAGCTTGAGATATTCTTGCATAATTCATATGATTTATAGATAAAACCATACCACATTTTTCTGATTGTTTTTGGAAAGATATTTAATATACAACACGTTCTTTAATGATAATCAGATCCTTTACATAGTTTTTATGAGATTTTTATCACATATACTTGTCTAATGATTCTGACAACCAGGAATCATATTTTTGTCACACAAAATATAAAAAGATGGCCATTTTTTATTAATTTTGTTCTGGACAATTATCAAAGTGGGTCGGGCAATGTGTAGTGCTTAATGTGTCGGACTGATGTCCAAGGTTTAAGCCCATGATATACCTTTGTATTCGCTCCGGGTTTTCAGCTGTAAACGCGTTATAAAGTGATACTTGGTTCCGCTATTCAATTAAGATTAGCCGTATATGCGGTGAATGCTGTTGACTGTTTTGCTACATTATGGTCAACAGTTCAAAATTAGGGACAGCTATGCCTGTATTTTGGGGACTCTTATCTGCCCGTCTAATGTGTGTATATATCGCATCAGGTGTTATTCAGGGAGAAAGCACCGTACACCGTATATCATATCAGGGAGAAAATACCATATGCCGTATCATGAAAAAATTACCATATACCATATTAAGGAGAAAGTACTATATGTCATGTCCAGGAGAAAGTACCATATACCATATCAGGGGAAAAATACTATATGATATAGTATACGGAAAATTCTCCTTGATATGGTATATGGTAATTACTACCTGATTTGGTATATGGTATTTTTCCCTCACATGGTATAAGGGACTTTCTCCCTGATTTGATATATGGTATTTTCTTTCTGATATGGTATGTAATACTTTCTCCCTGTTATGGTATATAGTATTTTTCATCTGATATGGTATACGGGACTTTCTCCCTGATTTGATATATGGTATTTTTTCCCTGATATGGTACTTTCTACCTGTTATGGTGGTAGGGAATACCTTATGCTATATCAGAGAGAAAGTACCATATCAGGGAAAATGTACGATATACCTTATATGCTATGATTTACAAACAGGAATGATATGCTCAACCGTATGTCTGGTGAATGAAGTTAGATATGAACAAACTGAACAATTCAGATAACTGTAAAACCCTGTAGAGTCCAAAGTTTAATTCGTCGTTTGCTGTCCGTACTGACGATTCTCTATTAACTACTTCGACGATCAGTTGATGTGCTAACATCTATTAGTTACTATATCTAACATTGCGAAGTTTGGGATATGTGTGACAGCACCACTCCCAAAAGCACATAAACTTTATCCTGGATTAGCTGAGTCGTTGTGAATAATTTAGCTAGAAACTGTAATTCATATTTTTCGGTTGTCCTATCAAGGCAGTTAACACAATTCACCGACAACCAAGTAGGCCTATTCCGTGTTATTTTACTTGTCAAGGAATGTTTGAAAATAAGATGAAGAGTCTGTGATCATACACAAGTGTAAATAACACAATACATTATGTAACAATTACAGATCATTAAAAATTCGTTGAAAGTGAAACACATAAAGTAAATCGAATATTATCGAGTCATCCCTAAATTAATTAAAATAATTCCCAGTGTTTCTCATATGCTTATCCATAGATAATATAAGAACAGTATTAAAAACTTGTCCTGTTTATGTTATTTTATTTTTTGCTTACTCATTCAGGACGTTCTTATGATATTATGATCAATACTTTCGAGCATTTCGATAAAAAAAAATCTCCATTCATAATTAAATTATGAAAGATAAACAATCTTAAGGGACTGGTAATTTATTTATGAAAAAAAAAGTTGTAATGAATAAATAAAGTACGTAGATATATTTTATTTTTATATACAAAGTGATAAGGGGGAGTATTTTGAAATTTAGACAAAGTTTTTAAAAAAAAGAAAAAAAGACCAATACTCATCACGTAATACTTACACTTCCATATTTCGTGATCTGATTGAGAAATATATAATAATACTAAATCGTACAAATGCACAAAAGATGTATATAATATAATATGCAAAAACGTAAATGATATGATTTTAATATACAAAAACGCACATGTTTGCTGTTTTCACCAACAGCAGTCACAGTTTTGAATATAACGTCGAAAATCTTTGTACGTTTAATCTATGATAACTTATAAGTTAGGTTTATTAACATGTACTTTTAAGTAACAATTTGCAAAGCTACATGCATGTACCTTACACATTTGCATCATTTATAATT